GGTGTACCTAATAAAGTGGCCGGTGAGTGTATATACAGTATATATACTCAAATATTTTCTCCAGTCATTTGACAAAAAATGTGGACAAGCTAAATATTTTAAAAAGGAAAAAAAAAAGAAAAAAAGTCCTAAAAATGTCCTAAACATGATTACCATGAAAGGCATTTGTTGAATTTATTTTAGGACACTGTCTTTAGGTGGGTTTGATAAGAACAGGTCTATTATATAACAGAAGGGAGTGAGTTTAAAAAGGTGCTGAACAAAACATGTACATCTATACACACTATAAATACTGCATATAAGCTAAAAATAGACACTAATTTATAACATATATTTAGAAAAAAAATTGTGGAACTACTTCCTACTGGAAAAAATTAAATTAAAAAATATAATCCAGTGTATTAAAAAAAGAAAAGTCAAATCAGATTTTAATATTTTTTTTACCTGAATGACTTGAAAAGCTCAACAAACTCAATGAAGCTCATTGTGCTGTCAGAAATCATCAGATTCTGGAAGCCTCTGAAACAGCCTTTACCCCGGCCGTGCCACGACCTGCTGCTCCACGATCTGCAATTCGAAAAGACAGAAAATCGAATAATTGCAATTAAAAAAAGGATTAGGATGTCAGTGGAGTTGTACTTGGTTTTTCCCCACATACCCTGCCTGTGATTTGGAGGTTCCTGAAAGGACTGGAGATGATTGTGGACGAGAGTGGGTGGACCCCGTCATACTGGAGGTAGAGGATGCTGAAGAAGAAGAAGCTAGTAGCCCTGGGCTCTTACTGGATGAGAGGGAGAATGGTCCAGGCAAGCTGTCATCTATGGAGGCGTAGACAATTTATTGGACACATCATCACACAAAAAGCCATGTAACTTCTCAAGTTCATCCATAGTTATTCTCCCACTACCTTATAAACTATATGCCTGTCTATTTTTGCTTTTCTCAATTTTAATTGTTGCATAAATTTTCACCTGTATCTTCTTGGTCAAGGCTGTCAGACTCTGGACCATTTCGAAGTAAACCTTCCTTACAGCTCCGTGTTTTCCTGGAAACCATCTCATCATCAGTGGCATCTCCACTGTCCCCCTGTGTTGTGTTTATGCAGGTTGGAATTACTCATAATTACTTAGTTTTTGTTTGTTTGTTTGTTTGTTTGTTTACTTCAACTTCCAGCTACATGAGACAAAATAGTTCTTTACTTACCCTGACGAGGGCTTTCTTCTTCTTCTTGGACTTATCACTGATGCTCAGGGGGCTGTTTTTCTGGGTGCTGGGTTTCTCTGAGGTGCCTGTACCCATGTTCCACCTCCGTCCACCAAAAAGCTCAATGGCCTGAGCTAAAGTAGGACCCTCGTACCTGCCATCCTCCTGTACATACAGACGCGGAATTAGATCAACAGGGAGATTCAATAAAGAAGCAATAATAAGCCCAAGGCATTTAAAACTGTTTTTCTTTCAGGTGCATTCTTCATTTGATATAAAATTACTCTATTCTTTTTTCATCTACTGTATTATGATTCCAAAAGCAAAATAGTTTAAAATGAGGTAAACTTTAACTTAATCTACTAGATCTTGATATGAACATTTTTTAATTTTTTAGTGTGAACAAAAAAGCAGACATGATCAGAAACGGACATTTTTTCTGTGTTTACCTGATACAAGCTGACATACTGCCTCCTCAGCCACTGTAGCCTTTGGTCTGGAAATCTTTTCAGTTTCCTGGTTGCGTTCACCAACTCTGACAGGCCCTTATAGAGCATCTGTGCCGTGTGATTAGGGGCCACAAAGTGCAGAAGTCTAATTGCATGAGTTAGGAAATTAGTTAAAATGTTTGATACATAGCAGGGTGAAACAATGCAGGTTGGTAATGCTGCAGTGCAAAAGTGAAGAGAATAACCTGTTGTCGGTGGTACTCAGTCCGTAGAGGAGCGAAAGACCATTCTCCTCCACTGTCATTTGGCTCAGCTTGTTTTGCAAACATACAGCATTCACATCAGCACCCTGATGTCCCAGAAGCACTGCCTGTATATTCACATAAAGATAATCCCTTACAGTCAAACAAACTACTTCTAAGCAGATTTGTCCAAAAGCACTATAGACAACAAACCTTTACAACTCCGATGTCCAACATGCCTTCTGCTAGACCAGCAACCACACTCTGTCCTAGCCCCAGTGGCTGCTCTGATGTTGAACCCCCTGGCTTATCTGCCAAACACCAACACACTTACAAAATGCTAGAAATGTAGTAAACGACACAGGAAATTGAGGAAGCTGCACACAGACGCAAACGTTTACAACCAATTGAAAACAGCCTAGGTTGCAAAAGACGTGGAGCATGAACAGGCTTGAAGAATCATCTTAAAACATACTGACAGGAAATTATATTTTTCACATTATAGATGTGCTGTATTTGTTTAAAGAACATAAAAGTGAAAGCAAATGGAGGTTGTGTGCTTYACCTATAAATGATTTAGTGTTTAACATGTAACAGTGATGAAGAAAATGCCCCTTAAAATGATACCACACTAACATAGCATTCTTACTCTAATTTACAAAAATTTAATTCAATAATAAAAAAAATATTGTTGATGAATTAATGTAATTTCTTGTAAATTTACCCCAGGTGAGTGTTGTGTTATCAGGCTGTAGTCGCAGCAGACATCGAGCTGTGAGGTGGCTGTCCTGGTCATAATGGATGACTGTAGCCCCTTGCAGTAGAAACTGATGAACATCTGGCTGTAGTGACAAAACATACCTAAAAAAAAAAAAGAAAGAATACAATGTTGGTTTTATTTCTCTTCGCGTGAATACTGCCTACATTTTTGGGACCACTTCCCCACCATGGAATGAGCTCTGTGCCATGACTGAAAGCTCTGTGTGTCTCCTCGGTACCCTGAAACTCCCCATCTTTCACAGCTGGTTCAGTCGACAAGTCGCCATCCGAGTCCGACAGATCTCCAACCGCGAATCTGTAGATCCACAGAAGTATGAATCAGAGTCTACATCAAATTTAAACTGATTCAGAAAACGCTGTAAGACAGATGTTTATAGAAGGGAGAGACGTGCATGTTCCTCATTTATCTTCATTATTCCATCCACTGGGACTCCAGCATCACATCATGATGCTATCATACTTGATAGTGGGCATAGTACTCTTTTAATTTGAAAGCCTCACCTTGACTCCTCCAATCATGCATCTCATCAATGTGTCCAAATAGCTCAATTCTGGGTTGCTCCTAAACTTTCTAACAAATTTCTCTCTGTCATAGATGTTCACTGAGTTCCTTGTATACTTTCCTATTATTCTGAGTAAATGCCAAGCCAATAAGACCTGCCAAATAACTGCTGGCAAAGAGAAAAAACCATCTGCAGAAAATCATAATAAAAAATAAATGTCTTTGGTCTTAAACCTTCACCACCTCAAAATTTAGATGAATAAATATATGTATGTTTTTGAGCATGGATGTATAATTTTCAAACTCTATGGATTAGATAAAATCTGGCAAAAAAAAACATGTGCACAAAATTGTTTTTTTAATAAGTGAATTTTTATGTTGCATTATCACTCCTAGGATGAGAAAAAAACTATAACTGTGAGGAATTATCGGCATTTAGTCAGTTAAACAATCAACCTACACTTTACTCACTAGACAAAAGTTAGATATTAAAGCAACATGCTAATGTCTTCAAGGCCCTGTCAAGCTAGACAACTTATGAACATTTTAAAGACATCTACATTGAAGATGGAATTGAAAAAATCAACAGGAAGCTTCTTTTCGGRGTGTACATAATGTAATTCGAACAAATTGATCAAATATACAYCTTTTATTAGCAATTTAGACATAAAATGTGTTTCATAAGTTGGCATAAGTTGTCCAGTGTGACAGGGCCTTTACYTAAATTCACTTTTAAACAAGCTCTAGCTCAAATTGCAGCAGAGTCCATGTTTATGTGAACAAACATTTTAATGCCTTCATATTTTTCTTTAGTACAACCACTTACAAAGTACAGTTTGTTTCTCACTTTGTCCTAAATGAAAGGGAACTACAACCAAAAAAAAAAAAAAAACGACAAAAGAAGGTAAGGAAGACATGTGAAAAAGAAAAGAAAAAGGTTTTGGCAGTKATCTAGGGGCAAAAATATCCAGAACGCAGGAAAAGCAGCAATAAATTGCCTTGAGTGAGATGATATTTATCCGCTTTGCAGTCCAAACTCATGAAAACTGCAGAGCTGGCCAAAGTCAAGCACAGTTCTTATCCTGAGCTCTAAAACAATGTCAGACTGACAAAACAATCTATTTTATACAAACACAACAAATCAAGACTGCAATTAAATTCATTTTCTGAACTTTCCAAATCCTACCTTGTGTTATTAGCTACCTGCCACAGTCAACATGAGATGTACCAGAGCTCTGTTCCTTCCTGTCCTGACAGGAAACAAGCCTGTTGTTCTTTATCTTTCTGACACAAGATTTTTATAAGAACACCAGTTCATCTCAACAGCAATCTGCAAATGTGTTATTTTGTCGGTTGTCTCATGTTAGGGTTTACTTAAAAAAATAATTCAACTGTGACTTTTGTAAACATCTGGCTTTTGAGGATATATTGCTAAATATCAAAAAGAAAAAAATTGTATAGGTCTTCTGGACGGGTTCTTCTCTAATGAAACGTTTCGTCTCTCCTCCAAGAGACTTCTTCAGTCTGAGAGAAAATTCAGGCTTTTAAGCCCAGCCTCCGTGTGACTGATACTCACATCACATGGCTATCGTTGACACCTAATTAACACTTATTGTTAACAGGGGGTGGAGTGATACTGGCAATGGCCACGCTGTAGGAGGGGGACAACTGAAAACAGAGGCCTCCACCTCTGTTTAATGATGGACGGTCTTTCTTCACAAAAATGGCTTCTTTTACTCCTCTCTCAAACCAACGTRCCTCTCTATCAAGAATGAGAACATCCTTATCTCTGAAAGAGTGACCGCTGGCCTGTAAATGAGTGAAAACTGCAGAGTTCTGGCCATTAGACGTAGTTCGTCTGTGTTGGGACATTCTTTTGAACAGTGGCTGCTTTGTTTCCCTGATGTGTAGTCATTAAACAGAGGTAGAGGCCTCTGTTTTCAGTTGTCCCCCTCCTACAGCGTGGCCATTGCCAGTATCAGTCCACCCCCTGTTAACAATAAGTGTTAATTAGGTGTCAACGATAGCCATGTGATMTGAGTATCAGTCACARGGAGGCTGGGATTAAAAGCCTGAATTTTGCCTGAAACTCTCAGACTGAAGAAGTCTCTTGGAGGAGAGACGAAACGTTTCATTAGAGAAGAACCCGTCCAGAAGACCTACACWATTTTTTTCTTTTTGATTTTTTACCTGGATTACTGAGATGCATCAGGACATTGCTAAATATCCTAATTTATTATAAAGTTAATATTATTTTCATTCATTTTTAAATATTAGATCAAACACAGTTTTTGACAGAAACAAAGGTTGGTACGCCAATCATTCCCAGGATGGCACTATTCATAGCTCTGATATAAATCTGTACGCAGCACTTTTTTCTACCTTTCCTGTGAGTCATTGTCTGTGACTGGACAGGAAGGTAGAAAACTCAAATACGAAAGCATGTACAACAGGTCTCACAGCCCCAAACAACATAAAAATCTATGGCCTAACTTTAAGAAAGAGAGCAATTAAAAATAAGAACGTTTTATGTGGTTTTTATAAAGAACCTCAAACTTTTACATCAGTCTATGAACTCAGACAAGACTGCAATGTTGAAGTAACTTTAGCACAATGCTGGACATGAAAGCCAACACAGAAAATGTTTTCTTGGTCAGATGAACATCAAAGAGATCAAAAAGATGTCCAGCATACAGTAGTTCTACATATAGTTTGTTTCATTGACTTTACCTTAAATACAAATGTAGATGGACTCTAGATCCTTTGACAGAAAACTTTCAAGTTCCTAATATATTCCTAAACATCACAGTAACACTTGCTGTGCCTAACCTGATGCAAAAACTTGCACAGTTAAATAGTCTCAAAGCAAAACGGAAAAGAAGCTTAAAAAGCACACAACAAAGTAGAAAAAGGCTACTTACTGATTGCGGCAGCGGTCTCTTAAAGAGTTGCATCTGAATGCAAAAGACGAACAGGTAGAAGAAGGACTGGACGCTTCATCTGGATCCTCGGACTCCAAACTACGATTACAAGATCTGAGGAGCAGAAAGAGGGAAACCAMACAAACAATTTAAAGAACAGAAAATAACAGTACTTTTATGTTGTTGTTTTTTCAAACGTAATTACTAATTTACTAAATCTCGATGATGCAGCACACCTGATAATTTGCAGGATGTTACTGACAGTAGCTTCTTTCTCAGGGATGTGCAGCCCGTCTGGTCCAGCCCGGGACATGAAATTGTGCTGACCGCTGTAGTCCGACACAAACTGGAGACACAGATTGGATCYGGTTGGATCAAACAGTTTGATGTTGGTGAAAGTCCATGTATATTTGAGCAATGTTTTTGTACCTCTATTGAGTCATCAGTGTTATCTGGAGGTTGCTTTAGACTGATGATGCTTGCAGTGCCATCTAATGCATCACTGAGCTCTTTAAGAAAAACACCACAGAATGGCACCACCTATGATGTAAAGGACAGAAAGAATCAACATACATTCAGGAGAAGTGAGTTTTTTCCAACAATTGTCCTCATTGCCAGACACTCACTTTGCATCCTGGGATATTGAGTGCTCTGGTCACAACCTTTTTGTACTCAGACGATGATTCGTGCTGGGCCATTGCATCCTTTAAACTCCTCATGGTCTCAATGTCTGACTGGTCCATGAACTGCCACATTTTCAACACCTTACGGGACCTGCAGGGTAAAAAGATCATTTAAATTAAAGTTTCCTCAAAATGCCCAAACAATTTAGAGTCTTTTTCTGTTTCTTCAAACCTTAGTCCAGCTAGGAACTCCATAACACCGTTGTAGTTCCCCATGTTCCAACAGCATTTAGCAACATGGACGAGATATGAAAAGACTTCTCTCTTTTCCTCCATGGACCCTGCTGTTAGGATCAGCCATGTCACCCAGGAACTCACCTGCATGTTCAAAGTTTACATGACACATTAGAAACACCAAACCATCTGTTGCTTTGTGTTTTTATGTTATTAAAACCAAGTTATCAGGAGACAACATTCACTGCCACATTAGGTTTAGCTGAAACTTTTTATTGTGTGTGGTCTCGATGGTGGTCCATGAATTCTTGGGAGTCTTAAAGTGGAAGTACACGTACAAGATCATGTCTCACACACACAGAGACTGAGATCAGATGACTATCAGCTGCACTGACTAACCTCAAGCAAAAAGATGACTGCAGAACCAGATATCTATCAGGGTAACCGTCGCCTCACATTCTTCGTGATGGACACATTCACACATACACATAAGCTTCCTGCTCTCTGTCTCATTGTCTCCAAGCATTAAAACCCCATTAATGTCACACGCATAGGAACACACTCACACTGAAACTCCCTAACCTCATTGCAGGTGGTAAAAACATCCCCCCCTTGGCCCAGAGATCTAACACTGGCTTATGTAAGGATCTGTAAAGCCATCCGCAGTCTGAATACACAAGGACTAAATAAAGCCACCAACACATGCATTCAAAAACGTTTAACAAATGGACACAGAGACARACTTTGAGACAAGGATAAAATGTCCATTTTTTTTGAATGACCTAAGTTAGTGCAAAAATCCTACTAAATTCAACCAAACAAGCACAAACTCTTAACATCTTCCACCTCGTATTGAAGGGGCAATATCATGTAAAATCAACTTTTTTGAGTTTTATATCACGTTATAATGTTATACTCTAATAAAAAACATGCCCAAAGCCTTGCTTTGACTCATTCATACATGTTTGAGAAACCCTGCAGCGTTTATAGGCAGCCATGCTGAGGAGCAAAACGAGAGGTGGGGACCAGAAATGCCTTTGGGACCAGAAACGTCTCTGGGACGTGTCTTTAAGCCGAACATCCTCATGGCAGAGCACACCCCCTCCCCCGCTCCCCACACACCCCAACCATGACTCCTGCAGGCTCTCGGGTGAAAGTGAAAGTGAAACCTAACTGTCTGCTGAGCTCTCAACATTAGATCTCACTCAGTGAAGCTCTTTTCAGATTAAAAATACCTCTGAGGAAATGTATTTTCAGATGCCAAGTAAACTGCATCATGGCAGCCCCCACCCCCCACCCCCGCACTGAAATGGGCGAGACAGAAGCAAAGGTTGTTCTTAAAGAGACAGAGGCCGATTTCAAGGTGTTTAGAAGAGGAAGTGATGAAAATATAAGTTTATTTTCTATTTTAACACAAATACAGCATTTTAATAACAGCTAAATGTGACATACATACTTTATTATGGTATAATATTTAAATGTATGCCTGAGAAACACATACTATTGGCCATTTAAGTGTATATACACGTTTTACTTATCACTAGAGTCCAACAGAAACTACCCTGACGCTCTTTGAGCCAGTAGCATTGCAATGTTAGTGGTTTAGAAAGTTTGTTTCAGAATCTGTGACACATGACAAACTGCTGCCCTGTTGTGATCTGTCCAAGGCAGGCTCTGCGTGCCATGCATGAAAATCTTTCTTTCAGTCACTTGTAGCAGCATGACATAACGCGATGCCATGTCAGCGGGGAGGTAGAGTTACTGTCACTATCTAAACCATTCTGACCGGCTGCAAAGTGGCTTTTTGAACCGCCTCAGATCAAGGGAGTGTATCGAGCTGGCAACCCTTCTGATATTCCAGATAGCAGTAGTGCGTGTGCAACATTTTGTATGTCAATTAAAAAACAAAAAACAGGATTTAAGAGAGTACTGTATAAAAGCAAGAACATGTAGTCGCATATAAGACAAGCAAAGTGCGAGGACATCAAATGAAAACAAATAAAACCTGTAAAAACTAACAGCCTTCTTGTGTTCTTATCAACAGAACATGAACACATACACACAAATACACACTGAACATAGGCTGGGTACAACTTGATCCCCTTTTGATGTCTGTGTATGCGTCCATTTGTCTGTCTGTCGCCATCTGTTATTAGTCACAGGTCAGTTTCTCCTTCATACAAAAATTGCATAACCGACGCTGACGGGAAGCCATTACAAAGTCAGCGCAGCACAGACTGCTTCTGTCAAAGCTAAACACTTCAGACAGAAAAAGGCTATCTTTTTAAACTGCACAATCATTCATCACCATACATGGTATGAAAATGGARGGGATCAAACCCTTTAGGAGCATAAAAAAAATAGGTTACAGACTTATCAGTAAATTTAAACAGGGGTGACTATGTCATATTATCTAAATTACATTCACTTTATCCTGTTATTCTGCATATTTTAGTAACTGTTTTCATGCACTTTGAGAATCGAATACCCTAAAAAAAACTTTGTTAAAGAAAATGCCTTCAGATTTTTAAGTAAAAAAAACATCAAACATTTTATTGTTGTTATAAAAGATAAATAAGTAGTTTAACAATAAAGATAAAAATGAAAACCTAAATGTTTTAACCCTATTCACAAATTTTGAATACCAATATTTTCCATAACATTTTACACTGTCAGAGTCAGAGCTTCTAATTTAAAATCAGGTCGTCGTTACTGTCTTCAGGGGAGAATCACTTTTGTCATTTGACTCTGGTTTCGTTGTGTCCATATAAGGCTATGCTGCACATTTGGAAAAACATTTTGCGACTCTCCTGTTGCTGACTTAAATGAAAACCAGCTGATGCTGAAGGCATGCAACTTAAAGATGACTTCATCACTCCCAATCAATCTCTCCCCCCTTCAAACACGTTCGCCTTCTCAGCGGTTCATTGTTATAATTGTTTATTCCCAAATTCACTCAAAGGAGACACAAGGCTCAGGAGTGTAACTTTAGCCTGCGTACACCCTTTGRAAGTTCTTGTGTACACACATTCTATGTTCCAATGATGGACTTGAATGGTAATGCAACAAGGAAACTCCAGCTGGAGGGAAACACAATTACTGGTCTGCTTTTCCTCTAAACCTTTCACATCAATGTCAAACACAAAACCTACCCTTTCACAGTCTCAGATGATGTTAGAGATCACTAAAGAGCACATTCAAGTGCTTCCTCTTAATTAACATTTTGTCAATGTTTAATAAGGACTTTGTATCACTAAAAAAATTATTTCCAGAAAGCTTTAATTAAAAAAAACCACAATGCTCAGTCTATTCAGGAACCATATAAAAAGCTTCTTCACATAGTTTTTGATTGGTATCTCTGAGTTTTAAGTAATCTTATCCACACTGACATCATGTTGTAAAAAAAAGAGCTTTAAAGATATTAACAGCTGTGCAAAGTTGTTTTAGTGACTTCATGTGGCTAATAAAATACCAACAGGTTTATTAACTTAAAAAAATAATTTCAATGATTTAAAACTAACTCCTTTATTACCATGAGAAGTAGAGGTTTCACCTCATTTTCGGTACGGTTATTTAAAGAGCCATTAATGCCAGATCCAATTACAAAAAAAAGTCTAATCACCTCGTTGAACCGTGCCACCAAGTCCTCTACAGCATTACGCCGCTGAGCGCTCTGAGTGGGCATGGCGGGTGCTGACAGTGAGGCCTTGAGGTTTGGGTGTCGCTTCGATTGACACTCAGGGCTACCCAGGTCTCGAGTGAGGTAAWAGAGGTAGTCTAAGGGAAAGACCTGCAGAAAGACACTACTTTTATAATCAGAGAAAAATACTGCCTTTTGTTATTGTCATCCCATTCTTTTTATGCCCTCCAACAAGACACAGTGAAATAATGCTGCACTCATAACTTGATGTTCTTTTTAAAAGTCTTGTACTTCTTTGTAAAGGAGCAACAGCCACATGAGACATTGTTACCTGCTGGTAAAGCTGCTGCTCTTGCTCAGTAAGGATACAGGCGATCTCCTCTGGGAACTGAATGAGGTGTCGCAGTTCTGCCAGCTCCTTACTGATTCCACTGACACTGGGAGGAAGAGAGTTGCTGCTGGTCATACTGTTCGCCAGCTGACGCTCTGCTTGAGCAAATAAAAAAGACAGGAGACTTAAAAACTGATTATAAATTTAATACTATTTGTTTAACTCATACAAATATTTAWTTAACATTTTAGGAAGAAGAAAGATCAAGCTGGAAAGTATTAATGGAAAGCAGAGACCTATCATGCACATACCAATAATTTAACAGAACAAGAAGGAGAAACGAGAAAGAGATAAAGTGAAACATTATCCCTGATGTTCCTTTTTACCCATAAAATGTGAAAGCTTCAATGAAATGTGTGTTTCTTTTCTAAGATTACACAGATTGTTTCAATTCTCCTGTGCATCATATATTCTCTTCATTCACAGCACAAAGCCCACTTCCCTTTCAGAAGCAAACAGCTCTGATCACCTGCAAGTTCCTATGTTTGAATTTAAGTCAGACCCATTAATCTGTTTACTTACACACACACACACACACACACACACACACACACACACACACACACACACACACACAGGTTTGTTTTATATCCCCGTGGGGTACGTGGATTGACTTACATTCATTTTTTTGGTCCTTTTATAGCCCAACCCTGACCATTTAACCAAAAACTAACCTCACAGGTACCTACCTGACCCTAAAACTAACCTGAACTAATATTCTGCATCTCATTAATCCAGGTAGAAAAATCAAAAAGAAAAATTAAGTATGTCCTCTGGACAGGTTCTTCTTTAATGAAACGTTATAAGGCTGAGTTCACCTGAAACTCCTGACTGGAGAAGTCTCTTGGAAGAGAGACGAAACGTCTCATTAAAGAACCCATCCAGAGGACATACTTAATTTTTCTTTGTGATTTTTGACCTTTACTAAATTCCTACCTTGGTCCTAAACCAAACCCCCTACCCYAAATTAGCATCTGTACACGTGGGGACTGGGCATTGGTCCCCACGAGGCTGCTTTTTTTCTGGTAAATGGTTCCTACGATGTAGCAAAAACACACCCACACATACATCCTTGTACTTGCATCAAACTGAGGACTTTGTCTCGACTTCCATTCATTTTTGTAACTGCATTCATGCCTAACCCAGACATTTTTCTCTAAAACTAACCATTACCTTTTTATGCCTAACCCTAACCTGAACCAAAACTTAACTCACACAATACCCCTGAACCTAAGTGGTAGAGC